TTTTTTTGCTTTATTTGAGGTTCCCTGTTGGTTTCTAGACATTTTGAAATTGTCTTTAACTGTTAGTTATGTATTGATTTGTTTTGTCTTGGTTTTATGATTTAATATTTTGAAAAGGTAGAGTTGGTGTATTTTATTTTTTGAGCTATTAATTCAGGTGTGCTGGGTTGCTCTGCAGTTTTCTTCATGATGAAGGAATCACTGTATGGTATGTGGATGCAGGTCTTTGTCATAAAGAGAGTTTAGGATTTGAGCTGGCAGGTGTTATGGTGGCTGAATGTGGTTTTGTTTTGTTTTGTTCTTTAAATTGTCCATGTGAACATTTTATTTTACTTTTGGTCACTGACCTTCTGCTATACAATATGATTTTAATTACACTCGGAAGATTTTTTTTAATCCTTTTTTTAATTGGATTTTTTAAATTATTATTATTATTTTTATTGTGATTTGGGTGAAAATTTACAGAGCAAATTCACTGTCCATACAGCAATTCACATATACTTTGTCTCATGACATTGACCACAATTTACCACAATGCAACAGCTCCTCTCCCACTTCCTCCTGACAGTTATCTCTTCCCTGTGTCCATCCCTCCATGCATTCCTGCCCCCTGAGCTGTCTCCCTGTGCATAAGCAGCCCTTCTTTCTCCCATGCTTGTTCTCTCCAAGGAGTGTACCTACCTTAGGTAAATGTTCAACTCATATGCCTGTCCATTGTTTGGCTGGAAGCCACAGGCATGCGTTCAATTCCAGACCTTGAGGGCAGCTAGGGGTCATAGTGTCAGTGGTTCCACCAGGTTCCATCAGACCAGCAAACCTGGTCCCCCCCCCCTTTTTTTGTTTTTTTCCAAGTGATTTTGAGTTTTGTTCCACATTGTTCTCCCTGTCTATTCAGGATCTCCTACATAGATCCTCTTCCAAGTGGTTGACAGTAGTAGCTGGGCACCATCTAGTTCTTCTGGTCTTATAGTCATATAGGCAGCAGATTGGATGGTGTACCAGTGGCTAGGACTAATTGTTTCCATGAATTTTTGGTTTTCTTCATTCTTCTTGGCTCTGGATGAGGAGAGACCCATCATTGCATCTAGATGGCAGCTTGCAAGCTTTTAAGATCCCAGTTGCTACTTGCCACAGTAGGAGGTGGTGAATGTGGTTTTTATATTGGATGAGGCAAAGTTGAGGTGGAGGAAAAGGGAAGAAAAGAGAGAACGCAGAAAAGTTCCAAGGAGTCAAGAGCAGTTTTAGGACTTTGAGCCAGCTGCTAATGGTGATGTTATACTGTTACTTGCAGGCCTGCTGTTCAAGTTCAGCAAAGACTCCAATTGTTAGGGGGCCACCACTTTCTGCCAGGTTCAGACAGCTGCAAAAACCCCACTCTCCAGGCCCCTCTGTGCCAAAAAGCTGAACTAGGATAACTGTCCCAATCTGTGATGGGAGTTTGTCCCAGGAGCCACCCACTTGTGGCTTTATTCTCCTCTCTGCTCCTGTGCTTCAGCAGTATCAAGAGCCAGAGGGATCTCAGCTCCTTCCCAGAAGTTCCAAATTTACTGATAAAAGCAGGTGCTGAAGGTAAATCCGTGCAGTGGCTGCAGGTTCTCTGGTGTGGTGTGTTCTCTCCACTGCCCCTTTGGAGGTCTCCAAAGCCCTTTCTCATCTCTCGGTGGCTGCTCCACAGGGCAGGTTCCTCTGCTTTTATTTTTTTCCTCCAGGTAATTGTACTGCGCCTTTGTCCTTTCTAATCCTACTCCCCTGAGTTTGGTGTACTCTGACTGAATGAGCTGTTCAGAGCACCAAAATCCCCATTTCAAACTGCTGCACCTAGTTTTCAGACACTAAGATGCTAGAGAGAACTAGCATATGCACTACAGGAGAGATGCCATTTTCAAAGACAGGTTATTCACACTTTTGGTCAAAGTGTAAAATTTATATATATATATATATATAAAAAAACAACTCAATGCCATTAAGTCAAATCTGACTCACACGACCCCTCCTTGGGTTTCCAAGGCAGTATCTCTACAGAAGTAAATTGCCCAGTCTTCCTTCAAGGATGTGCCACTGGGTTTGAACTGCCAACCTTCTGGTTAGCTGTCAAAAGCCTTGGGCACTTTGCTACCACAGTTCCTTGTGGTAGTTAAGTTTGTGTGTCCACTTGGCTAGGCCTGGTTGAGTGGCTGGGCAGCTGGATACAGTAATCCCCATGATGAGATGGTTAATCAACTCCATGTTGGAATCTATTGTGAGCAGCAGAGTAGCTGCCCTAGGGATGTGGTCTGCTTCCTGCATATAAGGAGAAGCCTTGGAAAATGGTCTCTAGCTTATGGCACGCTTGAACCCTGTAGGTAGCTGTGTCGTTGTTCATGCTGTTGTTCATGCTACCATGCTCTGACAACCTTGGGACTTTCAATGGACTTGAATTAATGGCCTTCCATGTGGTTTGGTAACATCAGGACTGTGCCTTTTTACTTGTCAACCTTGGGCTTGTCAGTCTCAGCAGCCAGCAGCTGTCTAAGTGAAGAAAAGCCTCTAGCTCCAGTGAGCCAGGAGCAGAGGGCAGAGCTGAAGCTCAAGGTTGAGGGGCATTCACCCAGCTCCTAGAGCCTGGCACTTTGAATTCGGACTTAATGCCTCCAAACTGTAAGAGAATAAACTGCTGTTTGTTCAAGCCATCCCACTTGTGGTATATTCTTGTCAGAGTGGTACTAGGTAACCAAAACACATATATATTTATATGAATGAATGAAATTTAAAAGATTATGAGATTAACCTAAAATTAAAAATTTAATAATAATTAGAACTTTGTATCTATAATTAATATACTTACCATTGAGTTTTCCATCCCTGGATCTTCTTTGTTTCTTTACTTGTGTTTGGGCTTTTGACACTGAATCTTGCTTCTCAATCATAATATTTTCATATGTTTCTTTATCCTGAGCTACATAAAGATATGCATTTAATCACTAAATAGAAAAACATATTTCCAGTGAAATTTTTAGATTTCAATTAAATAACAAGCTCACAGCAGCATTTTATCTTATTGTTATTAAGCTACAAGTAAATTGCTAAATGCTAGATCTGATGTGAAAATTTTGAGAATTTTAAAGAATATGTGTTCATGCTGTCACATTATTTCACAATTACTCATAGGCATCAAATACATTAAATGAAATATATGAAGTAACTGTCCTCATTGCTCATTTTAAGGAAGCCAAAGTTCTCTGTGAAATTAGTTCTCATTTAATAGCTCTGTCTGACATGTACAAAAGGCATTGGGTATCTGGAGATTAACCACTGATTACAAGCACCCAATGTTGAGGTGTCACCATTTCCCATGACAGTACTGGACATTGTGACATTGTCACATTGGCTATTGTCCAAGCTGAGGGAACTTGGTATGCAGCAATCGACATCACAAATTTTTTATTCAACATCTCTATCCACTCAGATGCTCAGGGTAAGTTAGCCCTTATATTGAACAAAGTATACTGCAATATACCTTTAAGGTCTTTACACAAGAGTATATAATTTCCCCAACTCTCTGTGACCTGGAAATAATCTCACTTCTAGAAAGAGCACTAGCCTTCCAATATATGCCTGACAATCTCAAGTAGGGCCCAAAGATGGGCATCATCTAGAGAGAAGTGTATACCCTGAAACCCACATATAGTAACATAGTGAGGCCACTAATACAGACAAGGTACAATTAAATCAACAAGGTCACAAATGGATTCTTGATGGAAATCTGGGAAGATACATATTTCAATCCAGAGGAAATGATTACCAAGCTTTTAGCCCTTTCTGCCCAACAATTATAAAACAGGCCCATTGATTGGTGGAATTATTTGCTACTGGCACTCTCACATACCCCATGTTAGGATCCTGATGGTAACCATCTATTGGGTTACCATATAGGCCACTCTCTTTAAGTGGGGATCCAATTAACGTGATGCTTTCATTTTCCTCTGGCAAGGCTCCCAGGCTGCTCTTTCCTTAGGCCCCACAGATTCATGTACAATGTGTGAGTTTATCAACTGGAATCTTTGCAGAAGGTGAACATCATAGGACAGAGGCCTTGGACCTTCGAATCCATAATTTTGTGGAGCCAACTAAAATGTATACATCCTATAAGAGACAATTATTAGTCTGTACTGATAGCATAGTGCCTAAGGCACTTGACTGCTAACCAGAAGGCTGGCGGTTCAAACCCAACAGCCACTCCACGGAAGGAAGATGAGGCAATCTACTTCCGTAGTGATACTGCCTCAGAAACCCAAGGAGGGGTCACTATGAGTTGGGTCCGACTCAATGGCATATAACAACAACAACAACAACTGGTCCTTGATGGATACTGAGTATGTGACCCATGACCAGGAAATAAATTTACTATCAGAAACTCCAACCAAAAGTTATCAGTACTTTTGCTTTTGTTTGCTACTTATCTTAGGTTATTCACATTTTTGGTCAAAGTGTAATATTTCTAAATATATATATACATGTATATATGTGTATATATATATATGCATGTATATATATATATGTAGGAGCTCTGGTAGCATAGTGGCTAAAGCACTTGACTGCTAACCAGAAGGCTGGCAGTTCAAACCCACCAGCCACTCCTCAGAAGGACGGTTGGGCAATCCTACTTCCGTAGTGATACTGCCTTGGAAACCCAAGGAAGGGTCGCTATGAGTCAGGGCCGACTCGACAGCACATAACAAC